ACTGGTGGTCGTGACAAAGCACTTGACAGGCCGAAAGCCACCCCTTAATTTCGGGTTGACCTTGGCTTGTTTAGCATTCCCCATTGCTGCTGGTGACACTGACACGTGTCTGGGGCTGGGCTGACTCTAGGAACTAGGGTCTGGGGGGGGGTGTGTGTGTGTGTGCATGCGAGTGTGTATGTGCAGATGGACGGACCGTTAGGGATGCAGTCTTATATTCCCAGGAGAGGAGGCAGAGGTCAGAGATCAAAGCCCCAACTGACTCCCCACCCAGCTCTGTGTCTGGGGAGGTAGAGAGATCCAGAATGAACCTCTGCTCAGGCTGGCCACATTATGCAGTTTATGCAATTAATGCAACAGCAGGAATGGCAGGGGTCTATGTGTGTGTGTGTGTGTGTGTGTGTGTATGTGTGTGTGTATGTGTGTTTGCATGGAAGTGTGTCCTGTGTTTGTCTCTTGTGCCAGGCCGTTGTAGCTTGCACAATGTAGCAGTGCAGCTGGCACGTGGTACACACACACACACACACACACACACACACACACACACAAACACACAAGCACACACAAGCACACACACACACAGGAGTCTAGAAAGGTCTTTTAATTAAGGGATTTGTTAATTTTCTATTCAACTTGACAGTGATGAATGGGGGCGCAGCGCCTGCCCATCTCAGCCTCGCCTGCTCGGCAGACAGAGCTGCCTGGGAGGCCTCTGGGTGCGATCATCACACCCTGCAACCGTATTTACACATGAAGATTTTTAACCCTTTGGAAACCAGTCACTGCATTTAATGAGCCTGGAAAAAAAAAAAAAAAAAAACCCCACTTGATGTGGCTTCCACTCTGCAGCAGCTTGTGTGGAGGCCAGATAGCACTGAGAGGTAAACAGACTTAAACAATGGCCACACATTATGTGAACAAAGAAAGATTTGCTGCTGCTATTTGGCTTCAGCGGAAATCGCTCTTAGACTCTGTACTGTTGTCTTGGCCAGTTACCAGTTTAAGCTTAAGTACCTCTGTGAAACATCAGCTAAATGCCTGAAATGTAAATTATAGGTGTTATTCCTTTGTGTAACAACTTAAGAAAAAAAAGGCCAATATTTTTTTTTACCATTGATATTTATATTCTCAAATATCAACCCCCGTCTCCAACAAATTTCATTCATATTCTGCTAGTTTCGAATTACATTTTTTTAGCATTATAATTAGGAAAAGTTTTTAATGAGCACATCTGTCAAGTCGCAAAATGTCTATACAGAACAGAACTTTCACTGCCAAATTATTCCATTTGGTTTTCCTACAATATGTCTCCTGTTATACAATTTTATAGCAACTAAAGCACGAGTAAAGTTTTTATAGTTAAGTTTAGCACTCGGTAAAAGTTAGAAAAAGATTGTAGTCACGGTTAAGTGTAGAAAAACCAAAGTGTATCTGTTGCCAAAACATAAGCAAACACAGGATTCAGCAAGCAAACCAATGTTTTATGTTTTGTTACTCATGTTTTACATCTGTTTACACAGTCTTCCCCTTGTGATGCAAGACTAATTAATTTCAGAGAAATCTGACACTAAAGGAAAAAGTAATCTAATTTAATGTAGACAGGATGTATTAGTTTGTTTAAAGTAAAATGGTCATTTTACAGCTGCAGCATATTCAGACTGAGCACATTACTCCTATTCTTCAAGTTTTCCACTGACTTCCAGTTAGTTACAGAATAGATTTTAAAGTGCTGCTGGATTATAAATCACTTAATTGCTTGAGGCTGAAAAACATTTCTGGTGTACTTGAAGAATATAAATCTATCTCAAATCTTTAGGGAGCAGTCACCATGTACTGGCACCAATAAGTGAAGCTGCAGTTAGCTAATATGCTAATGCACACGGATGAAACCAACTTCTTTATGATCCTCAACATACCCAACTTTGACTTCTTTTAAATTTAAATTAAAAACTGTCTGGTTTCCCCGTGTCTTTGACTGATTAATTTTCTCTACTGTACTTAATTTCCTTCATTAAATTTGTGTTGATTTATGACCGCACTGTAACTACCCTGAAACTCAACTCCCTGACTCTTATTTTGTGTTTTTAAATGTACTTTGTTTTATGTAAAGCGCTTTTTGAATTGCCCTCTGTGTTTTAAAGGTGCGTCGACTCTTATTTTCATGCCAGGAATCATTCTGTGAGATCAGCTGCTGCCTTTTTTCAAGTGATGGGGGGGGGGCTGAATGAATGTCCTCAAATGTAAAACCGAATGTATTTCATATTCATTATCAATAATTTCTTTGTTGCTGCCAAACATGTTTTGCATTCAGAGTAATACAGGCACCCTGAAGCAACAGAGCCACATGTCATATTGGCCCTCATGCAATTTATCTATTGTGATATGGCAGCCATTCATCTTTTAAATGCTCTCTCATGATTTCCTTTGTGCATGCAGAGCCGGAGGTGACCTTGAAAATGGACCATGTGGTGTATTCTGATGATAATTTATTCTCACATAGAAGAAACTGTCTCGCTAACATGATTTTCTTCATGCTTTGTGCCATCTACACTAGCTGGAAACTTTTTTTATAGCAGCAGCAAATGTATTCTCTTTTCAAAGAATCCTTTTCAGGATTTATAGGGCCATGCAAATTTTGGACACACACACATTTCCTTGAAGATTTTAGCATGATTTAAAGTCAAATTCATTCCTTTTGTGACATAAAACACAGGTCTCTTACTTCAGAATTTATAGTCACTGCCAATATCCACAAACCAAGACACAAACACTTTTGAAAACATGCTCATAAAGCTGTGATACACTGTCATGAAACTGAATGCAGAGGACAAAACAATGGATTTAGGTTTCCATACAAACTTCCCTGCAACACTGAAACACAGGCTCATTTTCAGAGAGTCGCTCTGAGTCTGTGGTAGACTGGTATTGATTTATTTCATCAATGAAACCCCCACAATGGCAGCAAACTGGATCTTAGCTCCAGTTTTAAAATATAAGACGCGCAAATGACTTTTGTCTCAACTTTTACTGTCCCTAATATTTCACTCGAGAGTGTGACAAAAATAGTAACATAGTCATTGTCCTGGCAGTCAGGTCAGTTATCAAGCTCTTTTTTTGTGAGCCTGTCTGACTGGGATTTGACTGACACACACTCTCTCTCACACACACACACACACACACACACACTCTCTCACACACACACATGTGGCACACTCTGTTTTAATGCATATTAATGAAGTTAAACGGCCCGCTGTAGAGAGGAGACAATGGAGCAGAGGAGGGCTGGTAGTGAGCACAAAGCCGTGGGCTCAGGGGAAGCAGAACAGGTGCAGAGAGGACATGGCAGCTCCATGTGGAACGACTCACTATAGGTTCATCAGTGCAGGAAGGGATCTGTTCAAGTGGTCAGATGCACAATGCAGATTTTTTTTTTTTGTCTTAATTTTTGTGTGCCAAAAGGTTGATGTTGTTGTTGTGTTACTGAATCTCCAACCAACCCAAACACAGATGGCTGTGTGACACTATTTACTTCAGTGAACTTTTACTTTCTATTGTTGCTGCTCTTTTCGTTGTCTTGTCAGCAATGGATATTTCTAGGGCTGGGGCAACTAATGATTACCTTTCTTTATTAATGGAGGATGGATTAAATGATCCCAGAAACATTTAGTTTACTTTTATACATGACAAAGATAAGAAGGAAATCCTGTTGTTTGAGAAACTGGAACCTGTTAGTGTGTGGAATTTTTCACTTTTTTCCTTTTTCTTTGTCTGAAAAATGAATAAAATTATTAATCAGTTACCAAAATTGCCTATTATATTTGTGTCGATCAACCAATCCTTTCAGTTCCAAATATTGCTGCTTTCCCAGGTGCTTTTGTTTGTTTTAAAACACAAACTTTCAGGAGATTAGGAGAAGAAAGCCTTTATCGCAAATGTTTCCCAACCTTTATTAGCGTCTTTGCGATCACTTAGTCACAGGTTGAATGTTTCTACGTGTTACAACCAGTTCAACAGTGTGACTCTATCTTCTCAGATGGTTCTGTTTGGATGATGTTTACTTCAGAGGTCAAGGATGGATGCATTTTTTTTTACAGTCAATAGAAATGATAATCTACATGCACTGTCATCTACATGCACTTATTGTCTGATGTGAATAGCCTGCAGTTGTAAATTCTGGCCTTCTGTTGCTTTGGTGCCAAAGATCTTTACAGGGAAAACACAATTACTAACTGTGGTTACTATTCAGCCTGTGAAAACAGTTTTCTAATCTTTTCTGTCTTCAAGTCTGAGACAATAACCCTGCTGAGGTAATCAGCGTTATCTGAGCTTATCCCTAAACCAATATCTGGCCCTAAACCAAACATTCAGGATCACATGATGTGAGAAAAATGTCGGCTCCAGTGTTTTTGGAGCATGAGCCGAAGTAGGGATGAAAATTCGAGGTGTCTTTTCCTCTGCTGACTCCTCTTTTTTTTTTTTTTTTTCTTTTAAACCTGTCCCTTGAAGGTCCTCCAACTTTATACAGATTCACAGGGGTTTCCCTTCACTGCTGCTGGAGGCAAACAAAGCATCTGGATGCAAACACCTACTGGGTGTTTATATGCCTTAAATTAAAAAAACATTTATGCCCCTCCTGTAAATTGAACATTAAACATGAAACAGTTTAGTTTTTGGCTGATTTCTATCTAGGCCTTTCTCTTAAACTGCCAAAAAGCAACGAAAACAAGGGCAAAACAACCAAAAAATAATAGTAACTGAAACAAAAATAGAACAACTACTTCTCTTGTGACATAAAAATATATTCTTTTAGAGATAATGCTCATATTGTGGAAGGGAAAATAATTTTCCCAGCTCAGTAACTCCCTGCTCTGCTCTGTAGACCCTCCTATGGGACCAGAGAGATAATCAACTTGAACCAAACCACGCCCCCCTGTTTTATTCTGGGGAACTTATCAGCGCCTACATGTTGAGTGCTCTTCATACTAGACCCAGCGAGAGAAGAGAGTAGATCATCTCCACAGGCTCCCCATGCTGACAAACACATCACCCGAAACACCTATTCACCTCTGTGGACGTTAAACCTGCAGCTCTGACAGGATGGATTTCTTAGACCGCGGCTACCTGGACGCGCGGTCTCCCTATGATTATACTTTTAATTTTTGGAACGACTACCTCGGCCTGTCGACACTTGTGGCCAAAAATAAGATCAACAGCCAGTCCTGCAGCCCCAACTCCATCACCGAGTCTCTTAAAGCGACTCTGGGCTTGGAGGACGATTCCCCGGTTTGTTCCTGCGTAATTGGGCACGGCAGGGACAGCGACGGACACTTGGACTGCTGCTGCGCGGCCCCGGGCTCTCCGCCGATCTCCATCTATGATCTCAAGGAGCGCATCTCGCTTCTCAGGCCGTACGAGCACCTCGCTGGCGACTCGCCGCTCGGAGACAGAGATTCACCCTCCTACAGGGGAAGCTTCGCCGGCCTCGACCTGCTCTCCATGGAGCGAAGGCGCAAACAGACTCAGAGGGGAAAGCCGGAGCCAAAGGTGTGCGTCTTCTGTCGGAATAACGGCGCGCCGGAGGAGGTTTACGGCACCCACATCCTGAAGACAGCGGACGGCAGGGTCCTGTGCCCCATCCTCCGGGCATACACCTGCCCCCTCTGCAGTGCCAACGGCGACAATGCGCACACCATCAAGTACTGCCCGCTCTCTAAAGACCAGCCGAGCCAGAGAGTGGTGCGGGGGGGCAGGGCGGTTGGTAAAAGGCTGAAAATCTTCTAAGCGAGGAGATGAAGGAAGTTTGAGTTGCACTGTCTGAAATTACTAGTGTGTATGGCAGTAATTTTGCCCCATTTCATGCACAAGACAAGTCTGGAGAGAGATTTTAAGAAAATAAGATTTTTATTGTTTTGTTTTTTATTGTATTGTTTTTTTTCTAAGTGTCACTGCTTCATCTGTAATGGTTCCGTCTATCTTGTAACTCTATGGGCACATAGTTTACATTTGGACGCATTGCGCGCAGCATTTCTCCCCCAGCACTCTAAGGACTTGGTGATCAAATAATGAACCAAAGTACTGTACAGATCGACCTGTGAATGACCACCTTCATGCTGTAATCACAAGTTGCTGTGTTTCAAGTAGCGCAGTGCCAGTGCAAACAGCCCTGTGCATGTCAGCGGGCTGCTTTGGGTTTATGAGATGCCAACATAAATGAATATGCAGCACTCCTGATATGAGATGAATGTTTAGTCCCACACTTCATTGGCCAGTGGATGTAAAGAGTCTGACAGGCCATGCAAGATGCAAGATATACTTCTCTATATCGAGCACATTTTTTTTTTTTTTCTTGAGATAAATGTTTTCTACCAAAGGAATACACTTTTGTATTTAGCCTAAAGGTAATTTCTGTATGTTTATATGTTGGATGTCTTATATTCTTTATGTGATTTTACGTGGATAGTATTTTGCAGATTTTAACTGAATGTAAAACAGTGGAAGGTAGACCTGACATGCAGTTCACCTACATGCTCTTCAAGTAGCTCTAAGCTCTATATTATATATGTCTTAAGTTCAAAAACACAAATGCTCAACTGATTTCCACGTAGAACTGTGTACCTGCAATTCTTGTAAATGTACAAAAGGGTTTAAAAACGATTTTAGCAATGAAAAGCCTGACATTCCAAAGTCTTTATCTGTCAAAAAAATGTTTTATGTACTTATTTTTACCTTATGTATCATTGGGAAATATATTCGCTGTAAATAACCTCTGAATAAACTTGTAATTTGCATTTTTCTGTAACTCTATGGAACTACAACTGATTTTTAATGTTATTCTCAGTCACTTCATGATGACAGCTGTATGGCAGCCTGCAGCAGGACACATGATAACGTGAATCACTGCTACTTTGAGTTCAGAATAGTTTGTCAAACATTCCCTGAAAAAAAGCATTTTCACACAAATGTTGAAAACGTCTACAGTCGTCACACTGGCACGCAATACAAATACGCCACCTAGTGCTCAAAACATGCAACGACAGTGTCCCTTAAAGGCCTTACACTGCACAGACAAGCTCAGGCTTATTTAATGAATAGGCCGTGATGGAAAGTGACTAAGTTCATTCACTCAAATGCAATTTTGAGGTGTTTCCATTTTCTGTCACTTTACTCTTTCACTCCACGACATTTAAGATGGAAATATTGCACGTTTTTACATTTTTCATACTAACCTATAATACACACAAAAAACAAAACTACAATAAGCATATAACATACAATACAATGTTAAAGACTAAACTGGTGATTTACAACTTTTTCGGCTTGTGAGCTTAGTTCAGACGTCACCGAACAATGATTTTCCCTTTAAACGTCTCATATGGTTTTTATTTCAATATTAATTCGATGCCTACAGAGGTAAAATTATCCAATATTTCACAAAACAAATTCTGACTACCCCTCAGATTTATCTGATGACTCTTTGGAGGGGCCGATACCCTTGGTTGGGAACCACTGGACAAAATTAATCGTACATGTAGAAGTTAAAACCAGTTTCATGGTAAAATGCCACGTACACACTGATGCATCTGTATTAACAATCTAATAATGTCATATATATTGGCGAAAGAGAGGAAACAAAGTATTTTTACTTTGATAGATCAAGTGCATTTTGCTGCTCATACTTCTTTAGTTACTAAAGAACTTACTAAAGAACAAATTTAGTTGTGTTTACTTCATTTTCTGAAGTTGTTCCAACTTAAAAATGACAAATAAAGTTAGCTTGTTCTTTTTAAGCGTATTGGGGAGAGTTTCTTCCTCCTGTGCAAAGAAAGACATCAGCTGATAGGCCTTGAACTTTAGTTCTAGATAAAACTTAAAAATGAAATCAGTGGATTGCTGTGAGTAACCATGTCACATTTAGAATAAGACTCTGCTGTTGAGAGTTTTTAAAAGTCATTTGTATTTGTTGCCCAAACTCAAATTGCCCACTGACTGTATTTGAGTGAACCACAGCTGAGGGCTCAGGCAATCAGGCAGTGGCACCAAGAGTCTCTGAGGGGAGGTGAAGAGGGTTTTGTGTTTCTGGGTGAGCTGCCCTGAATGTTAAGCAATCGATGAGTTTCATTGACCTCTATTGGCAACTACTGAGAACTGCAACAACATTAACAGACCTCACCTCCCTCTGTAAAAGCCTTCAGACTGAACCGACAAAACAGGTATTTTTTTTATTTATTTGTATTTTCTTTAGACAAAACATAAAGTCTGCTCCAACACTCAGTTCTCATAAATCAGGGCTTAAGACTCTTCTGTTTGTATATGACTTTCATTAAATACAGATTTATATTCATATCTTGCACTGCTTTGTAACTGCACTCTAATTTTCATTCTCCTGTTAAATCTGTTTTATTCTACTCTATCTAATCCTACTTAAATTTGTCTTTTTTGCCTTGTGTTTCTTTTCCTAATTTTGTTCTGTAAACCACTTTGAGTTGTCTTGTTAAACGGTGCTATTCAAATATTCAGTGGATTGCTGTGAGTAACTGTATCATCAGACACTATGAATCTATTAAAAGAGACTTTTGTGGCACTGTTATCACCACAGATCAAATGTCTCTGAGATAAACTGTATATAAGTGAACTACACCTTGAATAATCCAGCAGTCAAACTGAACCCGAATGGGAAAGTGGTCTCAGACTTTTGGACTCTGTTGCACTGCTTCTCCTTTATCAAACAATTTTTTTCTCTATTGTCCCTGTTAAATAAACTACCTTGTAAATTAAATTAACTGCAGCTATAAGGAGAGAGAAACTGTTAGTTACCTTTTTAGATGAACTGATCCTTTAAATGTTAAGCATCAGCAAGCTTCATCGACCTCTAGTGGCAGCTTCTAAGAACTACAGCGCTATAAATAAACGCCTTTGGATGTAACTGACACAATAACACCACATCATTAAAATCTGAAACTATCTCATTAGATCAGAAACAGAGAGAAACTTCTCGTCTTTTAGTTTGGCAGGTATCGAGTCCTCAGTAATGGAGGACACTGCCTGGCTGGATGGTGTCACATAATAACAATAATTTACTACATAATTTACTTTTTCAGACTTGGAAACATCAGTTTAGTTTTATAGCTAAAGGGAGATGTTGAAATTACTGGAAGCTGTGTCATGAGGAAACCAAGACACTTCTCCAAGATGCCACACTTAATTCCCCCAAAGCAAATTAAGCATGTTTCCTACCTTGCCTTTAATGAGATGGTAATTTTAATGTACTCATTGTGTCATTTTGTTGTATAAACCTACTAATAATATACTGACCTGTTCATATTGGTACTTAAATGTAGGTGCAGTGGAACAAGGGAGTAACAACTTATTCTCTATTATATTTTTGGAAATGCTGCATACCTACAGGGAACAGTACTGGGAAACAAAATGGAAGAATTGGGAAAATTGTGTTAATAAACGTTTTTACTGTGTAGTTACAGCTACACGTTATGTAACAGCCCACTTTAGTTATTGTAATAATTAAATATTTAAGAAAGACAGTAAAAAAAAAATAGAAATTAAAATAATTAGCTACGTTTGATCCACCCACATTCGTAAGTTATAATACTAAATTATTAATATTTCCAGCGTTTTCTTGTCAGACGACAACAGAAGCCTTTTATAGACACGCACTTGACAAAGGTACGTTTGTTTTCTACTCCAGCCGATCCATTATGAGCTGCATGCAGTGCCCATTTCCAGCCTTGTCTTTGTTCCAAATCAAACAATGAAGTAGAAGATGTGATAATAAATCCCTGTGGTGTGGGCGTAATTGAGCTCCCCTCTTTTTTTTTATTGTGTTTTCTCCCACGCTGCAATAACGTTTGTTGATTAGGAAAAACTGAAATGTGTATTTTACATTACACAGTAATGATAAGGTATGAGATCTTTAATATAATGTGTGGCTGTTCTCCCGTTTACTTATTCTTTTATTTTACAGTATGAAAAAGGTGGTAAACACATAACCTGCCTTGATTATAAGAACACAAAGCACTACTACTGGTCTGATTATAACATATATGTTAATATGTAGAGTATGTGCAAGAGTGAGTAAAACATTTATGTATATATATGTATTTATACAGGCAAGTGTATGCATTTATACATATGGATATGAGCAGCACTTATTCCAGGACATGGATATACACAATTACCCGTACCCCTGTACCCCGTAAGTACCCAGTATTTAGAAAAATACTTTTTCATTTGTTTTGCATCCACTGTACATTTAAGTACCAGAAGGAACCAGTCAGTATCTTAGTCTCATACAATGAAATTACACTGTATATCATGGGCTGTATCATAAAGTATTATTGAAATCTTTTGTTGTTTATTTTTTTTAATGCATTCCATTCTTGCAAGTATCACCGGTTTGTCACCCAGTACGTGTCCTTGAGCAGGAATCTGAGCTGCTTCTTGGTTAAGAGCAGCAGCTTGACGCCTCTGCTTTTCAACAAACACTGAGGATGATTTACAGGTACCCTCTGACTCATCTCTGGATGTTAAACAGCAGGAGTGTTTCTCTGTGTCAGCAGATACACATAGCACTTTCTTGCTCGGTGGTGTCTCCCACACACTGTCAGAGTCAGGACGCCTCAAGAACATCAGTGACTCATCAATTTGCAATCTAAATAGATCTAATAGATACATCTAAAGATACTCTGGGAAGAACAGCAGTATGTAGGGCACTGCACAGGGGTATATATATCTATCTATATATATCTTTTATCTGTATCTATCAAATCTAATATCTAAGTAAGTGAGAAGATGATCAAAAAGAAAAGAGCACAAAGAAGAAAATACAGTTTTTTATGTCTCAAAAAGTAACAAACTAAAGTCAGAGTCATCAGATTCATATTGCGGGAAAGGGTTTTGGTATCTGTAGCACAGAATGTAGGTTAATGTGGGATTGTTCAGTCATCTCTTATGTTATTCAGATAAAATATTGGACATCAATCTACCACATCAATCTAATTAAGTGCCACACAATCTCTAAGGTAATTAATTTCTAGTTTTCTAGAGTATTAAAACCTTTAAGTGCCTGGCTGTGCAGGTATATGCCTCCGTCACTCTCTCTTTATGCACTATGTATTGATTCTCTCTAAGTAGGTTGTGGAAAACAGTTTGTTTCAAGTCATTTTCACCAGGTTTGCACCAGTTTTTTTCTCTTTATGTATGTGGGTTTGTTGATTGATTGAGAAATGCATCTGAGGGTACACAACAGAAACACTTACAGTAATAAGAGTAATTGATTTCAACGCCATTTCCACAGCAGGTTAAAAGAAAAACCTGCTCTACCACATGTACTCTGCCTGCCGTGGCTGAGAGTGAGTCTGAAAACCAACCTCTCCTCTCCTCACTGCAGCAGTCTGCTATTGGCCCACTGAATGCTGACAGCACTGATGTTCCTCTGTGGTGGGGGGGGGGGCAGCCTCACTCTATAAAAGCCCAGGATCTGCAGCATCACTGAGCTGGTGCAGTGCAAAAACGCTCGCTCATCCTCACCGATGGTGTGCAGAACAAGGGGGACATAAAAAAAAAACCTTCTGAAACTAAAAACATCCATATCCTTTTCTTAAACAAACAAAAAAATCCACAACAAAAATTCATCATGAGCTACGATTCCTTCTTCTCCTACCGCCGCCCTTGGGACAGCTACAGAGGCTCCCGAACCACCACCAAATCCTCCATGTCCTCCTCTTTGTATTCTTCTCGAGCACCTCCGTCCGGGAAGAGGATCGTGAGGCTGGCCTCCTCTTCCCTGCCTGATGGGTCAGAGAGGATGAACCTGGCTCAGGCCAGCTCGCTCAACACAGAGCTGCTGGGCCTGCGTTCCCAGGAGAGGGAGCAGCTTGTGGGTCTGAATGACCGCTTCGCCACCTACATCGAGAAGGTGAGGCACCTGGAGCTGCAGAACCGGGCCCTGCTGGCCGAGCTGGAGGCGCTGAGGAGGCGGCAGAACGACCCGTCCCGTCTTCAGGCGCTCTACGAGGGGGAGGCGCGGAGTTTGAGGGCCATGATAGACTCGGAGAACGGGGAGAAGATGCGGATGGAGGCAGAGAGGGACTACCTGCGTGACGTGTACGAGCAGATGAAGGAGCGCTATGAGGAGGAGACGAGGCAGCGCATGGATGCCGAGGAGGCCCTGCAGAGGGCCAAAGAGGAGGCGAACAGGGTCGTGCTCGCCAACTGTGACACCGAGGCCACCGTGGTCTCTCTCTGTGATGAGATGGCGTTCCTGAAGAAGGTCTTTGCAGAGGAGCAAGCAGAGCTGCAGGTCCAGCTGCAGATGGCTAACATCAGTGTGGACGTGGAAGTGTCCCGGCCCGACCTCTCCACCGCCCTGCGAGACATCCGGGCGCAGTACGAGCGGCTGGCAAACAAGAACATGCAGGCCGCCGAGGACTGGTACAAGAGCAAGTTTGCGAGCGTCGCTGAGATGGCCAGCAAAAACAACGAGGCCGTGCACGCCATCCGGGAGGAGACCATGGAGTACCGGAGATTGCTTCAGACCCGCTCGTCGGAGATTGAGGCTCTCCGGAACGTCATCGACTCCCTAAATAAGCAGCTGGAGGAGCTGGAGGAGACGCAGGCCAAAGAGGTGTCAAAGTACCAGGTGAATGAGGGACAGTCAGACGCTGCTCTGCATCATATCCAACCGACTTGTTTTTAGAGTCTCAAACTGGAGCAAAGAGAAAAAGGGGCAGGAAAGACAGAAAGATGAAAAGATGGTGTATATTATAAACCATCTCGGCCACTAGATGAGATTAGATGGAATAACGTTAATAGTTTCCATCCAGAATACAGGAAAACACAGACAGAGGAAATCTCTGTCTTCATGCAACAAAATGACATGTAAATATATTCTCTGCAGCAGCTACACCCTCCCCACACTGTAGTTCCCAGCAGGAAACGATGGCAGGCTCACAGCAGAGGTGAAAATCTGCAATTTTACTGTCTGAAAAAAAACTGCAAAGACAAAAAGAGATCAGGGATCTCCAAAAATTGTTTATACTCATTTACCACTTTCCATCTGATTTCCATTCATTCGGAAGCAAATCTCTACTAAGAAAAAAATATTACATGAAATACTTATTGTGGAGCTGGAGTTTTATGTTCTTGTGTGCAGCATCAGCATCTGTGATACCTGACACTGCATTGCTGTTTTTTCTCTTGCATTCACAGATGAGGATAAGTGAGCTGGAGCGGGATATCACTGAAGCCAAACAGGAGATGGCGCGCTACCTGAGGGAGTATCAAGACCTTCTCAATGTGAAGATGGCCCTTGACATTGAAATAGCTGCATACAGGTAAAATACAATTATATGTAGCTAATATAGTATAATTCAGATTGCTGCCAATTAGTTTTTAGTTTCATTTTGATGTTGACTTTCTCTGGGGCAACATGTTTTAAAGGAGACGAAACTTCAGTTGTGAAAACGCAAATAAATGAAGAGTAAGCTTAGAGAAATCTGTTTTCTTTTCCTTTTCAGGAAACTCCTGGAGGGAGAAGAGATTCGCCTGGCTTACCCTGCCCTTCCCGCCCTAAACTAAAATCTAAATGCCACCAGCCTGGCATAAACCTGAAAAAATTCTTCATACCCCTTCTTTCCCACCCTGACCCAAACATCACCCTTCCCCCTCCCTCATTTCTTTTACGTTCTTCCCTCTGTCATCTTTTGCCCCAAAATACTCCTTTCTTTACTCCCCCCCAAAAAGCAAACCGCGAACCAAAGCTCATACTTCTCAAGACAGATGCGCCCTTGTGCTAAACAAGAGGTCCACCAGAAGTCCCCCTTCTTCTACACACGTTCTGACACCACACATCAAGATGACGGCAAACTGTAAAAATGCAGAGTGGCTGCACTGCATTAGTTACGTAGCTATGTCGGACAGCAGTATTGTTTTTGGCTGAGTTCCTCTCCCTGTCATACATGTTAAGATCCAAGCAGCAGAGTTCACCATTTGACCCTTGTTATGCCTCATTGTGCAAACATTTGACCAATTGTTTGTGAAAGAGGGCAAAAATTTTTGTATTATCTCTTGATGCTTGGACTTTATCTGTGTTTGAACTGATGCAAGACACCTGCAGCATTATTGACTGGGAACTCTACCAATCAATTATGCTTTGTCCTGCACCCCTGGTTCTATAGCCGTAGTCAGAGAACCAGTAACCTTAAACATTTCTTTTAACTATACCTATTTTTGTCCTTTTTAGTTATTCTTCCTCTGCATTTACATCTGCAAAAATACTGCAAGCTTTGGTTAGTTTGAAAATCAGTGTGACTTTGGGTCTTCCTATTTGGCTGGTTATTTAAATTTCTAATTTCTAATTAAACTGTCTTTTCTTGCATAGCCGTCTGGCTGTGTAAATGCTTTGGAAGACTAATTGTTACTGGTTTCTCCTTATAATCATGCAGTGTGTCTCTCAGCCTATCTGCATTAGATTTTGTTCCTTTTGTTCTGTAAGTTCATTCAAAGCTAAACAATGAAACTAAAAGTTAAGTGCAGGAACTCCTTGTTGTTTGTCTGCTGATCTTAGACCTGATGGTGCTTTACATCTGTGAAACTAATACAAAGCCTGCACCATTATGCTTGGTGTACCTGTAACAGTCGGCAACAAGCTAAATAAACATATAACTGACCTGCAACCTGGTTCATATGTTGAGTTTTCATTTGACACTTCATTTAACACACTTGTTGAGCACGAAAAATCATTTCAGTGTTGTTTCTCCACTGTACATCACAATTATTTGGCGGTGATGTAGTGTCTAGTTTTGGTCATAGCATATATTTAAACACTATGTTACCAGCTTTAAACAATTAAAATATGCAGGGATGCATAAGGCCTATTCTAAGTCAAGAGACAGAAATCAACTGTAGCCTCATTTTAGTTTTGATGTATAAACTGTGTTTTCAGTGGGCAAGTTATAAAAACATACATTTTACAAAGGCAGGTCAAAAACAGGTATATTTTTAGACTGATGTCACACGATGTGGTTAATCATTTATGTGTTTTCATAAGACCTTTGTGAACCTTGCTTTAATGACAGACCGGGTGAATTGTTTAGCAAATTATGAGTCAAATCAAGTGTAATTATGAGGCTCTCTTGGCCACATCTTTCACATTAATGTCATCTTTTATAATTGAATCAACAGTGCACCTTATCTTGAACGTCATTGGGCATCTTTAAGTAATAAATATGCAACTGAAATATGTGAATAATTACCAATAGTAAAAGTCAAACGAAAATTTTATCTAAGATAACTGAGAACAGTAAACATTTTCCTGTTTGATTTTTGATCTGTAATAATAATAAAGAATAGTAAAGGAGGCAGCATTCAGTAAGACCACATCTTACTTAAATTTCTCCTTACTTACAGCTCTCAATGTCACAGGAACAACACACAGCGGCACTGCACCATTTCCCATCATTCCATGTTCCTGGCAAGCTGGCTGTAGCTGTAATGTGGTGGCACGTTGCCTCAGCAGGACCATCAGTCACCAGCAGGCAGACACCAGGCGCCCCACTGAACCCTGAAGAGATACACAAAACATGTCGTTTTCAAAAATCAGCACTTTGTGAGTGCAAAGCTGTAACATAGCCTGTGCAATATTAACAATTGTGTTGTGTCACCATTTTGTCTGAACAGTCACACAGCACAACCAATGCAGCATCAGTGAAAGTGAATGGCTTTTTATCTGCTTTAGATAGATAGATAGATAGATAGATAGATAGATAGATAGATAGATAGATAGATAGATAGATAGATAGATAGTCTTCAAAACTGTGATTTTTGATTTTTACCTTGGTGGTTTTCAATACATGTAATCTGACTTTTGACTGAGTAATATGTAAGTGAATGACACTGCACTACTTTTACTGAAGTCTCAGGAGTCTGGTCAGTCAAATCACATGATATCTTCTAAAGTTACAACCCTTTTAGTCAAAAATAAACATTTCTTTCAGCTACCAAACACAAAGACTTTTTTAACTTAAAAGGCAGCAGCTCTGGAGGATATCCAACTGATCTGTCAAACAGAGTATATAAATAGGACTTTTTTCCTACATCACTTACATTGAAAGTGCATTAAGAAGGGATATTTTAATGGTCAATATGAACAGTAGGAATGACAACAGCAAGAAAAACCTGTTTCAGAATAAATATGGGAACCTGACTACTGTTTAAAGATAAATTTTCAATATTATGAGCCATGTTCTTTCGTGAAAACACACGACAGACACAAACTGTGGCTAAAGCCAGGACGTTAGGCACCACACAGGCTATGCTAATGTTTGACTGCTGAACAGTTATTAACCCAACTTACCTACCTAGCTGCCACTATATAGTTAGTCAGACTAGCGTAGAAAAGTCATTTAGTATTAAAATGATCTTTTTAATACGTTCATGAGGAGCAGACTGTTACTAAAACGCCTTTTATTACCTACAGATGGCAGTAGCTTCTCAACAACGTGTCCCTTTGCTAAGTACTTCCTTCGGTCAGAGGACAACAAGATGGCCGCCGCTTCATGTCGATAACATTCCTGTCTCAATGTTACAACGTTTGTTTTAACCGCGCGTGTTTTGTTTAACCGTTACACTTGCCGTTTAAGAGTCTGCAACTGTTACCACATTGCGACGCCGTCATGTTCCAGGTTATCGGCGGCAGGAGTGTCCACGCGACCCGGCTCCTCGCACCCAGGAGCGCCGTGCTCGTGGAGGCCGTCCGCGGCCGAAAGTCCCGCAACGACCCGGTGGCCAGGTCCAAAGAGGGGCGTATCAAGGTGCCTCCACCCGTCGACCCGGTGGAGATGGTGGTGCTCAAGGAGAGATTCACGGAGTACCAGCTGATCATGAGGGCGCTCCGGTATGTTAAAACACCGGTTCATGGTGTCTGCAGGTTTTTAAAGAAGTGCTAAATAGTCTTGAATACAGTTCTCAACAAAACACCCCTAATAGATAAGTGTAAAAAGTGTATGCCCCTGGACATAGACAAGTAAATGCCTTCCCATCTCTCCCTCACAAAACGACCACAGTCAACGTTTTTGTCTCTTTGCGGTCGTTATGCGTATTTTGTGGTCATTTTGCTTCTCTATGTGAAGTCGTTTTGCGTCTATATGTGATCATTTTGAGTATATCTATCGTTATGCATACTTTCGTGGTCATTTTGCGTCTCTGAAAAGTCGTTTTGCGTTTATTTGCAGCCATTTTGTGTGTCTTTGCAGTCGTTTTGTGTATTTTTAAGGGGGTCTTATGTCATGTGTTTTATGTCTAAGGCTTTGTTTGTTGTCTTCTAACTGAGCCATGTGATTTGCAAACAAGAAATATCAACAGTCACTTCACATGATGGCTATGTGCTTAATCTATACCTGGGTCAAGGGAGGTACAGAGAAAAATGTGATATAAATGTCAGTAAAGCCATAAATAACAAGTAATTGTAGGCTTTATTATTTGACTGATGTGACTGTATGAAATTGAATTTATTGAAAAGTCTTACATTTATTTTGCTGGACACATTAAATCTTTTATATTATATATATATATATATACATATACATACAGAGGAAGATTTCATTTTTCACATCTGTTTATTCAGCATTAATACTCAGTGAGATTCACTTGACTGAACAAAGATGGGGTCTTGTTTCCTCTGTGTTTGTTAGTCTGGAGTTTAAGGAGGAGGTTCTGCGAAAGAAGTATGAGGAGGAGACGGGCTCTCAGGCGGAGGAGAGGGCGAGGCAGGAGGCGGAAGAGCATTGCGCCCTCATGGCCTGGAACAACCAGGAGAACCTCCGCTTGCTCAAAATCAGGTGAGGAGAAATTAAACATGGAGCGAGGAGTGAGTAATGCATTTTGGTCTGCAATACTGCTCTTGGTTTTGCGTCTCATATTCATCAAGTTATCTCATTCCAAAAACAGTGTGGATCGTTCAGCTTCTTTTCTGTATCTTTCAGAATGATGAGGATCCAGAAAGAAGAAGAGGAAGCTGAGCGCAAGAAAATAGAGGCTGCCATTAAGCGTGAACAAGAACACCAAGAATTCCTCAAAGAAAAAGAGAGGGAGATTTTGCAGTTGCAGGTACGATATCTTTCTTTTTGCCTTTTCTGTCCTCTTATATTGTAAACTACAGGGGAAACTGTACATTAAAATTCTCAATTCTACATCGTATAATGATGAAAAGGTGTAAAAAAAAAAAGATTATAATGGTGAATATTGATCTCGGTTTGACTTTGTACTTTCACCGTCTTAAAGGAGGAAGCAAAGAACTTCATCACCTTGGAGAACTTGGATCAGCGTATCGAGGAAGCTCTGGACAATCCAAAGAATTACAACTTTGCCATCGACAAACAAGGCAGAGTTGTTAAACAGACAGTGCTGCAGTGAAACGGCAGACAAACCTGTGTGCGTCCGTCTCAGGAGGAAATAAAATCAAACACTTGCGCCTGTTTTGTCTAAGTGGGACTTTGAGTCTAATCCACTCTGGAGGTGAATTTTCTTCAGACACAAACACTGAAAAACATTCAGGGCTGTGGTACCTGTAAACTCTGACATATTTAAAGATCATTCATCAGCACATAACTTGGATAATCTCCATAAAATCTGAAGTACTTATTATTGATGGACAGGCATCACGTCATCAGAAAAGTATGAGCTTGGAGTCAGTTTGGCTTTTGACAGAATGAGACCATATTTCTTAGTTATGTGATGAGAAGTTTAACCATTCTGCCTTTACTGTTCATGTCTGTTTTATATTCTTATTATTTGAGTGATGTACTGACACCACAACATGTTCTTTTGGTCATTACTGTCTGCTTGTGATATGTAATGTACATAAAGTAAATTAATGTTTATTGGAGTTTCCACTAAATCTTTTTGAGCGTTATAGGGTTTTACTTATCAAGATTCTCTTCAGCCTCTAATACTGGTGAACAGCTAATTTACATTTTCTTTTTACAACACAGCGTCAAACTGTGAGAAACCATAGAAAGACAAGACGACACAATATCCTAGATGTTCTCAAAATTTTCACGTTAAAAAATAGAAAAGAGAACATATGTAACTACAGAACGTCTGATTCTGTTTAAATGGAAACTGGATTACCACCCCAGCAAAGTGGAACACCATCTTCACCGTGTGTCTAATGATTTGTAGTTTAATAAACTGCAATATTATTTGTTATTTTAAGTGCAATATCAGCCATTAAGTAAGGGCCTTAAGGTGAACTCTGTTCCTTCATCTCAAGACCTTGGTTCGTTGAGAGGAAGGGGGTCTATCAAAATCTAGTCTTAAGGTCTTTAATATCTGTTGATGTGTTCTTAAGCAAATTAGTCTTTAATCAAATTACTACACACCAAGTTACACAGCAAATCTTGGGGCAAGTAGTTCGAGCACAGTAGTTATTACAGGCTTTTAAAGCTGTAGGAAAAATATAATTAAGTGGACGTGTAATGTAATCTATGGTCTTTAAAATGACAGAATAATGTACAAAACATGAGGAATGTGGGGTCAATAGGTTCCCTGTGATGAGTTTTTAGAAGATCTTTTGTGTACAAGTTATGGTTAAAGTATAATTTCTTGCCTGAGAAATTAATAGCAGGGAGTTGGAAACTTTAAACTGACATTTTCATACATTGTTAAATGAGTTTTTCTCAGATCACAATCACATCCTTCATTCCTGCACTTTAAGCAGCCGCCCTCTAGGTGGCGCCCTGTGCAGCTCTCCGTGTTGTTCTGTTTGCTGTCAGACAGGTATTAACCAGCTCATGTGGGACGACGTGTCGCTGAACCAGTGTAATCCTCCTCTGACAGGCCAGGCGTGCAGGTTGAAAGGATGATGGTGATCGAGAGAAACTCAGGCAACCTGCAGCAGCTTCAGTTAGAAGATGACAGGGATAAACAATGTGGTTAAACTCAAGGAAGACTGGGTTAAAAATTGACAGTGACTGGACTTTTAATTTACAGGCGGTAACTTGAACATCTTGTTTGTAGGTATGAAGATCTTCTCCTGAGTTATTTGAATTATTAACCTTCAGCAGATGAGTCGGTGTCGCAGTATTCCTACATTTTTCTTAGTTAAACAGGACTCAAACCATTTAATGAAAAGTCCTCAACAGTTTCTCCAACAGGAATTCAAAAGAATTCGCCAGAAAATGAAAATCCAGTCAGTATCCATTCACATGTATCTTAGTGGAAACCATATTTTCCACCTCAGCCTCGTTCCCAACCGCTTAGGTGAACAGACCATCTCTTTTATAGTTTCAGAAATACCAGAAAACATCCATGAGATTTTTCCATCCTGCTCATTAGTCATAATTCCAGTGTTTCGGGTCCCAAACATCTGCACTGTGAGTTGATGAAGCAAACATAGGTCATAATAAGCTCAATATTTTTGGACACCAGTGAAAACAAAAATGAATTGTTCTGGTTTCTGTTCATATTTTTGACCAGTGGTTCCTGGGGGTCCGGAGGGGAAGTGAAATAATTAATATGAAAGGAGACTGTTTCTGCCATAGAAAATTATTCACATTCTTTAAGACTTTTGTTTTCTTGTGAAGTTTTATGCTTTTTGATGATTCAAACAAAACAAGGAAAACAAAAAATCAGCCTCAGTTTAATCTAGGAGACATTTGTATCCTTCGTTTTGTTTGAGCTGCTGCTTTAGGCCTTCAAGAATGTGACCCAATACAGTGAAGCATTTGTAATCAAATAAGTCTCTTAAATACACAACAATTATAATTATTCCTCTCCTTTTTATTTGGTGCAGCGGGTGTGATTACATCAGCATACAAACAGCAAATCTTCAGGGTAATTGTAGTTTTTTGTCTTTGTCCAGTAACGTCTATGTCTTGACTCTAAAAGACTATAAAAATACAAAAAGACTAAAGCTACAGGTGGATTCAAACTGGTTCCAAAGCAAACTGACAACTGGTTTTTGAGCACCTTCATATTGGCAATAAATACATTCATGAAATGTTGTAACTGCAGAGGCAGGCTGGGTAAGATCTGAGCGTTTCTCTTGAGCAACGTGGTCATTTACATTTAGCCTTCATGCTAACGCTCCAGTCCAAAGAGTGAATGATCCGGGTGTACATGGTTTGATGTTTTGCTCAGAGACATTTTCAGGTTGTTGTTGATGGAAGTCTTGACCAGTAAGACTTCCACAGAGCTGCATGTGTTCCTGTTCATGCCTCAGATTTTTTTTTCTCTTTTGCATTCTGAAGTTCTGAAATCTGGTCGCTCCAAGTAAAATAAATCTGGTTATAAAAAAATATTAAAAATATTATAACACCTCGTTCGTAACTCGGAACAAAAACATTCAATACAAGGCTGCACACAGACTGTACAACTGACTTTATAAAATCCTATTTTATGATAAAAATATAGCATTAGCTCACATTAGACTGAGAAAGGAAAATCCATTAGCACTTGAATATTCAAGTATAATAACTCAGACATACAACACATTCACCAGAGGAAAATACTGTTGGCTTCTTCCATGATTACAAATAATCTCAGACATGTGGGGGAGGGGGGATCCAAAGGGTTTGTGTCTTTTTTCTTTTGAGCTAATGAGGTGTGTTTTTATTTATTCACTCCCACACTTTGTTTCTCATATTATTGTTGTTGTTGTTGTTGTTGTTGTTGTTGTTGATTAAGAGATCTGGTTATTCAGCTGCCCGGGGTATTTCTCAAACCTCCTCTCTGCCTCCTCGCTGAACGCGTCACCTGTAAAAACAATGAATGAATCAGTCAAAATAAAACCTCTGAAACTAAGAACAGCTACTTGAAAACTCCAGTAATTTACATGTTCTTTTTACAACACAGCATCAAACTGTGAGAAACCATAGCAAGACAAGATGACTGTTATTTCCCAAAATATCCTGGACATGTTTTCTAACTTTTCACGTTAAAAAATAGAAAAGAAAACATATGTAACTACAGAATGTCTGATTCTGTTTTAAAGGAAACTGGATTACCACCTACACCATGTTTCTAATGATTTGTAGTTTAATTAATTGCAGATAAAGGGCAATATTAGTCATTAAGGGCCTTAAGGTGAACTCTGTTGCCTCATCTCAAGGCCTTGGTTTGTAGAGAGGAAGGGCGTCTATCAAAATCTAGTTTTACAGCCTTTAATATCTGTTGATATTGTGGTTACATGTTCCTGGACAAATTAGCCTTTAGTCAAATTACCACACACTGATTGACACTCAGTAAATCTGGGGGCAAGTAGTTTCAGATAAGGAATTATTACAGGCTTTTAAAACAGTAGGAAAAATATAATTAAGTAGACATGTGTAATGTAATTCATGGGCTTTAAGATGATAGAATAATGCACAAAAGTGAGTCAAAATAAACTTTATATAAAAGCCAAAATCTGACATTAACATGCGCCAGTTTCAGTGTTTTCATCTGCTTACCAACATGGCAGTTATGGAACCAGATTCGATGTCCATCGTATTTACAGTTGCATTTCATGGCGTTGTTGGTGAAGTCGCTCTCGGCCACTTCATGATCGGGATTGATCACAATCTGAGCAGGTGAGAAACGTAAAACAAACTATTTTATAAACAGACAATCACGGAACGCGAAGTTTGGATAAAATGACTCAGTTGTGGCTTTAATCTCCAGCAGTGTAGATTATCAGGTCTGAGTCCCACTGGTGTGATAAACCTTTTCATCAGATTTTCTTGTGGAAATTAATTGAGTTACACATTTAATGTAAGAATGTGTTAATAATGAATGAACGTAAACTTTCAGCCGCTCACGATCCTGCTCACCTGCATAATGTAGTTTCCGGGTTTGACGTCCGTGATGTCGATCCACTGGCAGTCGATGTCGTGGCGGTACAAATCCCAGCAGCCCACAGTGATTCCCTGATCGCCAAAGTTAGCGCACTCGTACCTCTTAGAAACACCTGAGTGTCACAATTAAAAAGGTTCAGTGAGCTCATACAGATTATATTTTATTAAGGTTACAAAAATCCTCTTTTAATTGAAGAAGCAGCTTTTTTTGTCTTATAAAAATACGAGAAGAAAAAAGGTTAATAAACTAATTAGTTAAAAATATAACGATCCCTAAATACATGCTGACATTGACTCACCCTCCTGACAATCTGTGTCCTCCAGACAGAAACTGGCTTTGTGTCCCTCTGCCACTTTGGTGCCGTTGGCATTCAGCAGATCATAGTGGGTGAAAATGTTCATGCTGTGGTAGTGGCTGTAAAATACAGTGAAAAATGTCATTATAAACAACAACAACAAAAAAAAGTCTGTTCCCAAAATTCAATAATCCACCATCTGAAAGTCAAAGTGGAAATTACCTTTAGAGAATTACATCAATAAAACTGCCTGAACCTAAACCTAAAATGATTTTAGATTGGGATTTTTGTCATGACACAAGACAGAAATGAGAGGATCTTGATTAGGGATGCTCCGATTGATCAGCCAATTTTCATTAAAAATACGTGATTGGTAGATTGGCATTAAAGCTTCTAGTCACCAATCACCTTAAAACCGATCACCTGTGGTTAAAACGTGATTGGAGCATCCCTGATCTTGATTTGAGAGGTTTGATTGAGAAAAAGTATGTGATCTAAGTCGACTTTCAGACATGTTTACATCATTAAAACTCGACCAAAACCAAACTTCTTAATGAAGACAACGTTACCCATGGCAGGCGTGCCACACCCACGAGTGCCGCCCAGCCTTCGGCTTGAAGTCAGCCCGGCCGATGTTGTGGATCTGGGAGGAGAAGCGCAGCAGGCGTCTGTGTCCGTACGGCCAGTTGGCCTTGGCTGCAGATTTCGACAGGCAGTCCTCCTCTGCGGCGCAGTAGAGCATGTGCAGAGGGCGGTCCTCGATGTAAACCGTCTGCTGGACCAGAGGGGCGTCCAGGATGAGGTCAGAGGCCGCTGGAGACAGAGCGAGAAGCAGGATGAGAACTGAGATACAGTATGTTCCTCATGTTTTAATGGATCTGGAACAGAATCAGGATTTGTCCTTTTGGAACTGCTGAAGAAATATATCAACAGATAAAGCAACACTGTGAGGTATACAGATTAAACTGGACAGGAAGTGATATCGAAACATTTCAACATGTATCTTCAAATGGATTCAAATTACTTCACAAGAAGAGCAACATGTTTCATTGATCATGTAATAACAATGTTGATTTATAGGATCCAAATCCGAGTTATTATATTGTTCGTCCAACAATGTGATACACTCATAGGTTTTTATAACATTTTGGAAGAATTTAGATGAACTTTTTTCTTAGTATGTCAAATCAAATTAAGATTATTTACAACCCTGTATCACATAAAATGTCTTAATGGGTTTTACAGACCCACGTTAAAAGTCTTCCCTCCTAACAAAGCTCAAGATCTCTGCAAAGAGAAAGAAAACTTTTCCATAAAAGTGTCACAGATAAGAAAAGCGGGAAAGAAAGAATCAGAGAGGAAATTCAAAGAGAAGTCACCCCTCCTCAGAAAGGGGCGGGGTAAAGACAATTATTAAAATTAGAAGAGTTGTAAAAGTCGTATGAATTATAGATTAAACCCCAACAGCCGGATTATAAAAGCACGGTTTTGATATCTCGTTAAATTGATTAAAAAAAATGAATATCGTCATATTGAATGTGGTGTTTTCTAATTTACTTGGGGTTTGTTTTAATTAAATTTAATTGGATCAACAGATTCTTTTCCTCTAATCTTGGCAGGTTTATCTCAGTATTCTTGTTACTGAACTACAATGAGAATGGAGTCTCTTATGTAAAATTAGTTTCACTCATTTCTCTCTTGAAAAGGAGATTTTAATCTCAATGAGACTTTTATCAGGTTAAATAAAGGAAAACAAAATGATAAAAAAAAAACTTTCTGTTGTTGTTCACTCACTTTCAGAGCAGATGACTCCTGCTGAAAACTTCGCTGCTGCTTTCTGGCAGTTGACAGTTTTGTGATGCTGGCACTGACTCAGAGACATCTCGCTTCCTGTGCACTTGACACCGCTCATCACCATCTCCGTCACGTTGCTGCCGTCCCAGTACCAGGTTTCCTTAGATTGGGTTAGACAACATCAAACAAGACAGACGTGCAGAAGAAACAAAAACAGGGCATCGATCAGAAAATAATCGTTCACAAACGGAGCTGCAGAGAGTTCAGTGGGACGACGCTGCTCTGAAAAACAGATGTTCATGACTCATTTTTGGCTGCTCGCTGTGGACACTGTGAGACGTTGATCTTATGATCACTGGAGGACAATAACTTTGGGCAGACACTGAGTGATTCAATGATCATACTACTTAGTTTCAAGTCACTTTAAGCATAATTACAGACTTCCTCTAAATAGATCAGCTAAACCACAAGCATCTGTATTTTTATATACAAGACGTTCATATCATGTTTCCTGCAAACTGCAACTGTTGAATCTAGTTCCTGTTTCCAAAAATGCTAAACATCCTCTTTGTAAAATATTGTCCTTAAGTAGTGTGTTTAGAAATGAGGATCTATCTCATAAGCTTTTACAACCCTGTAAAACAAAAAAAAAATCATCATTATATCCTCAAACATTATCATTTTCTCACTAAGATCTGTAATTTTGTACATTTGTGTGTGCCCGCTTTCCCTCAGCCGACATCATTTATTTCTACTTCATGATTTACAGCATTTGCAAGAAGAATAACAAAGTCCTTCTCACCCTGTAACCGTTGTATGTTTTGTTCTGTGGGTTCAGAAATTGGTCTCTGTGCCTCATTAATGGATTTTCCTTTGATTCTGTGGGTCTGACACTAAAACCTGATATTTATTGCTGATGTTTAAAGATGGTCTACCCAACTTTGTTTTAATGCACATCAGTTCACAGAAACCCCAAGATTTCCTCCCATTTTACTGCTTTGAAACTAACCAGACTTTACAGCTGATTTTCAAAACACCAGCAAAGGGCTGAGATTCAAATTTCAGTGTTAAAGAGAAGCGAGAAAAGAGAGTGCTGCGCTGGAACATCTCACACTGAAACAGTCAAAATGACCCCATAAGTAATTTCACTAACTCCATTTCATGGTTTTTTGTTTGGATTAGCAAAGTTCTGTTTTGTTTGTTATTAACAAATATTTATATATATTTATTTTGAAATATCCATTTCATACCAATCATACCGTTTTATACCTTGTCTTTAATTCTCTCAAAATCTATTTTATTGGTTTGTTTTCATTTTCAAAGGCAGACATTTCAATCATCCAGTTTATTTAAGGCAGCTCAGTCTCTACAGAAAGAAGGTTAAAAAAAATTCTGTTTCAAAGTTTCCTTTGACCGGGATTATTTATAGTTGCACATTAAATCCATAATATTATTAAAACTACCGTTATTTCTTACTTAAAATCCAGTTGCTCCAGCAATTAATAATTATTTTGTAAGAATAAGTGAATGTAAAGGCAAAGACAAAGATTTTTATCTCTGTTTCTGAGTTGTTTTTGTGTGCGTGCACCACCCAATACAAATATAATGACTTGTCTTAAAACTACAGAATGCATCTGAGGAGGTTTAACCTGTAAACAATAAATGTGTTCAGCATGTCATTGTGGAATAAATCTCTTCATCTAACTCTTCGGTCCTACTTACAGTGATGGCATGCATGGAGTAGCCGAGCCCTAGCTGTCTGCAAACCACCATGGCTTCCTTTGTGGTCCAGCCTGTGCTGCACACTGTGCCCCACTTGGAGCCAACCTGAACCTCCACCCGGCCCTCATAATTGCTCCGGCCGCCCACTATCCGGATCTGCAGAAAGGTCCTGCGGGGAGTCAGTGAGGGGACACACTTCCTGTCCTGTCTCTCAACTGTCTGCGCTACAACTGCCGGGGCTCACACACAGTCCTCACGCAGTGGAAAATGTGTCGTTAAAGCAGCAGTTTGGTTAGACTTTTCTAGGCGAGGAGAATGTTAACATGGCTTCCACATGAGGTCACCACTTTGGCTTTAGTGGTGAGTGGTTTTGAGTTTGATTAGAAACTTCATGTGTGGCTGCTCTGCCCACATGGAACAAACCAAATTACTGCCTGGTTCTTCCATGCAGGAAAAGAAGCATCTATACCATATGGAAATAATAATATACTGCCATACATTAGTGCGTGCATGTTCAAGTATATTCCAAAATTACATACGTCAAGAATATGAATGTAAAGTGAACATTAGTACAACCTGCACATATTAACAAATATGTGACAAATGGAAATATATTTGAACATATATGCACAGAATTTGGAAAAATAACTGCACACACAGTGGCCATTTTATAAGATACACACACACACACACACACACACACACACACACACACACACACACACACACAGCTTGTTCGCCTGGAGTCGACATGACAGGAACTCAGTGTGTGGGGTGGTTCACTAAGCTGCAGGCCTGAGGGTGAAAGAGTCTCGGTGATGATTTGAAATAATAACAATAAGCAGGTTCCAAGTATAAAACCCTNTTAGTGCGTGCATGTTCAAGTATATTCCAAAATTACATACACCAAGAATATGAATGTAAGGTGAACATTAGTAAAACCTGCACATATTAACAAATATGTGACAAATGGAAATATATTTGAACATATATGCACAGAATTTGGAAAAATAACTGCACACACAGTGGCCATTTTATAAGATACACACACACACACACACACACACACACACACACACACACACACACACACACACACACACAGCTTGTTCGTCTGGAGTCGGGGTGGTTCACTAAGCTAAGCTAAGCACATGACCTGTCCAACACTAAAGCAGCAGATTCACCTTGTTTGATTACAAGGTAATCAAAAGAAACACTTTCTCATCAACAAATTTTCCTTCAATTCATTATTATTTTAAACGCTTTCCTCTAATGAAACAATCTAGGAAGGAAAATTCACTCTTTGTTTGAATTCAAGTTGAGAAGACCTGTCATGGCTGAATCAGAATCAAGTAAAATGAAACCTGAAAATATTTTAAATACGGTAAGTTGATTTGAATTAAAACATTAATTTTAATAAACTAAGATTTTTCTGAGATTTTTATAGCTCACACAAACAACTGGCCACTGAGTGTTTATGACAGTATATCATATTTGCATATGTCAAATATCCCAAAAGACAACCTGCTGGTGAACGCAGCTGCAGGAAGTTGCCCTGGTTGGTGTTAATAACCTACTTGCAGGCCCTGGTTAGCGTAGCCCAAGCCCAGCTGCCTGCAGGCCACCATGGCCTCCGTGGTGCTCCAGTTCTCTCCGCAGATCAGACCCCAGCTCTCCGTCCCGTTAGAGTCTGAACCCAGGACCTCCAAGCGGCCCTCGTAACGGGTCCGTCCCCCTGTGAGTCGGATCTGTGCGGGGCCGAGGAGTTAGGAACCACAAGGCAGCGTGTAGATACACAAGGCTGGATAAAAACTCAAAAATCTTACAGGTGACATCAAGCCATAAGCTATAGAAATTTAGTTTAAACATCTGTGACTTGATTGATTTGATAAAAGTATGTTTTTTTGAGTTTTTATCCTACTTAGCCCGGTGTGTGTATGTACAGGAGACATGGACGAGTATAATCTGGTAAAATACAAACTGTACAACCAGAAATACTCTGTGTTAAAGTGAATATCACTGTTGTCAGAAAAACGTATGAGCAAAATTGCTGTTTTCAGAACAATAAAAGAACTCTAACATGTTTAACAATTAAATTTGGTTTGACATCAGTTTTTCATGACAGCAGTGAATTTATATTATTTCAGTGAGTGAAAATGTGAGATTTCTATGAATATTAGCTCTAAATCTCACACGTTAGAACAAAGACAGTTAGATCAGCAAAGAACTAAATTAATAGACAATAAAAACAGTATAAAATGAGGCGTTATTCAAGTTCTTTCCTATGCGACATTAATCAAAGCAGAAGGAAGCAAAAGGAAATATGATGCAGTTAACTTAGTCAGACCAACTTTCTCAAGTAATCTAAATAATTTCAACAATTCAAACAACTTTCTGACATTTGAACAGCAGAGTTTTAAGATGAAACATTAAGGAGGTTCAGCTCTGACCGTGTTCTCCAGGCCCATGTAGGGTATGTTGCAGCGGACGGCGGCGTCCTCCATGTGCTGACAGTCCTCTGATGAGATGTTTTTAAAGGGGCAGTTCCAGATGGATTTCTCCTGACCGAGACACTTCACCTCGTTCATGTAGATCGGACCCATTCCTGAACAGACGGGATTAAACGCAGACAACAGAAGAGCTACAGGTTAGACAAAGCACCCAGAACTCAGATTTTATTTTTTATTTCTATCTTTCATCTGGCAAACCTTTTTTTTCCATTTATATTTTCCCACCTCTTGAACAAACAATTCATTTACAGTTTCTGAAAAAAAGTTAATTCTAGTTAATATGAGGAAAACCCAGAATGTACCCACAGCAGATGACTAGCCAGGTCTTTTTAAAAAAAAATATTTTTAAATGCAACGAAGCATTATATACAAATCAGTTTTAATGAGGTACAGGGTATTTGGAAGTTGCAGCATTTAATGAGCCTTGACCCATTTAATAAGGCGCTTGGATCAGATTAGACCAATCCAGGTCAGGTCACGACTGTTTTTTTGACCCTTTTGGATCAAAACTCCAGTTTCAAGAACCAGACTGTTTGAGAAAATCTGGGCCAAGAAAAATGAATATCTCAAACATCCTCCCTGACCAGAAACAGTGACACCTTTTCTCCTGGAATTTTCTGTTGATGGAGTGTATCTCTTCTTTGTTATTTTCCCCAAGGCAGCTCATCATGTTCTACAATTTTGCGGAAGCAGAATGATGTACGGTGGATATAAAAAGTCTAAACACCCCTGTTAAAATGCCAGGTCTTTGTGAAGTAAAACAATGAGACCAAGATGGATGATTTCAGAACTTTTTCCACCTTTAAATGTGACCTATAACCTGTACAATTGAATTGAAAAACAAATCTTTTAGGAGGGAAAAATACAAATAAAAAACTAAAATAATGTGGTTACATTACTTTTATATCCACTGTACATGAAAAAGCTTTAATGAGCTGGACGTGGGCTGAAACAGTCTTCCAAATGCTTGAGATTGATATGAAAACACAACACAGAGGAACATCCGGAAGCCCAGAACATACAGTATGTTGGAGTTAAGAAGGTCACATTTTCCAGAATATACATACAGTAACTCTTCAAACTAACACCCAGCTCACTCTTTAACCTGAGGCATGTTTGCTGAGCATGCATGCTCTCCGTCAGCGACACCCTGCTTTACATTCACTCTGTAAACTGTCGCTCCATCGCTACAAGTCATATAGCACCATGAGGTGACTGTGTTATGAAATTCCTATGAAAGGAATTCCTTCAGCGGCGCTCGCTTCCGACTTCAGTGACGTTCAGGAATGTTTCTTGGACCGACTCAGCCAGGTGGTGGTCGGACATCCATCTGAGCACAGAGCTGGTCTGCTGCTGCCTCAAAGAGATGACTCTCCTCAGCCAACTTCCTCTGTGGTGGAAATCATAACGCACACACGCATGCACGCACGCATGCACGCATGCACACATACACAGCCCCACCCAGGCGCCGTTCAAAAGACTGCCTGTTTCTGCAGCGGTGGAATCTGAGGACAGTTAATCCAAACACTACACACACCTCCATGTTCCTGAGGGCAACACTAATGAGGAACACAAACACAGAGATAAACTCTTTTATAATAATATTATTTTGTTTGGACAGAGAATAATTATTCAAAGCAATGTTTCATTTCCAGTCACATTCCTCAGGCACACTCCACTACATACCGTATTGATGTGACACAGGTGTGGTTCCAATCAACCTGGAAGCACTCATTATTACTTCAATATTAGACCATCACAAATTATTGCCTGTTTTACAGTGCAGGTGGATTAATCTTCTCATCTAACTCTCATTTATTTGATATATTTCCCAAAATGTCAAACTATGTGTGTTAGAGATCAGTCAAACTTTAAAACTAATCAGATATTCAAAAGACAATAGATTTGTAACAGATTTACTTGTGTGTTTGTTAGTTTGTTTACTGACTTAAAAGAAAAAGAGACTAAATGTAAACTGTACAAGTTTGAGTCTGTTCTTTCAATTAAAAAAAAATATTTACAGTATCATCCATCAATTTTTTTTGTGATTAATTTCCAGCTGATACAAACTGTCATTCAAAATGGTTAATTATTTCCCTTCAGGTAAAAACATCTTCGATCAATGATTACTTTAATTTATCTGGATAAATTGGGGCTTATATTTTCACTTCCTGGGGCATTTATTGCTTTATATGTACAGTATTTTGTAAATGCAAGAGGATCTCTGTGGTGTACTAATGTAGAAGGAACATCGATAAGTGTGTCCAGGGTGTCTCCTCTTCTGCTTACTGATTCAACACTAAAATAAAATCAATGCCGTTACAAACAGCTGTCTGAAATTTTAAAGCCAGGGACCAATTGCACAAAGCACCTCAAGTTTTCTACTTAAGGTTTAATTTCTCCTTAGCTGAGGGAGTTACTTAAGGTTGTAGCACAGAATATCTTAAAGGGTTTCCTGATCGTGGAAAACTTTTGTTGGGATGTTCATCCTCTTCATAAACTCGGCCATGTTGTAGTTAAAATACAATCAGAGGAACCCAAAGGGTTTTTCCTTAGTTTGGTCACTAAGGTCTTTAACTGACTTTAAGTGATTCCTTATGGATAAGACCAAGATAAGGAGAAAACCATAAATATTTAGGGTGTTTTGTTTTGAAACCATATCGCGGACTTTAAGAAAAATCTAAACTTAAGATGCTTTGTGCAACTGGACCCAGTCTAATACAGGCATAATTAATTCACAAGGAGACATGCTCTCTTTCTCACGTACTCACTCATACACAAACTACTTCATTCAGCTTAAGGTTTCATTTCTAAGCATCCTCTAACCAACATAAATTAATCTGCTGAGTGTGTCTGTGTTGGTGAAAGAACAAGCGACGACGAGAACTGATGAGTTTTGTTCAAACTGAAAATATGGAAAAAAACTTAAAAATATATGGAAACTTTTCTGATAAATCATTGTTGAGGAATTAAACTCGTCGTTAAGTTTTTAAACAGTTTGGTACGCAGTCTCACATAGTCTTACAGTCTTACAGTTACAGAACACAAAAAGTGATTTTTGTCTTGAAGCTGATTTACTGCTGCTCACATGGAGGCCAAGTGGCTCAGACACAAGCTGGACTTGTGAAATCGCCTCATTTTCACATGAAATGGTCCGTGGCCGAGCTGGAATAACACAGACGGCTTTCTGTTCTTAACAAATGCCTGACACACACTAAGGAATCAGAAATACTCATAGCAAAGAGAATTTAACGAATAAAGAACTATATTAATGTCGGGATTGTAGTGAAAAAGACAATCTGTTTACCGCGGTCGGTGTCATATGGTGTTTACGGAAAATCTTTGTTTGTTTCTTATCTTTCTTCACTCCCAGCATTCCTTTACTTATTAAAATAACCTCCAAATGAGGAATCCCTGTAGGAATGTGGACCTGTAGAGAGCAGATTATCTGTTCTCTGAGGGGAAGAGATGACCTGAGAGATAAGACAAGTGGACAGGTGATGACTGAAATCCTCTCTGAGGACAGTTATAAGGACGTCCTGTCTCAGGTGACGAGTTCAGAGGGATTTAAAAAGCACAGAACTGACCAGGCTAAGATCAACAACATTATCACAAAGTCAACACTGGTAGTGTGGCAAACAGTTCACTTTTGACATGTTCATTCATGTATTTTTTTACTTGTATTGAAGTGTATAGAGTCTGATTAGAGCTTACAGACTCACTTTTACTTCTACAAACATTTGTAAAGATGCAGAAATAATGTCATTGGTTGAGTTAAACCTCTGAATTTCTTGAGAAAGTTTGCTAAACTGGACATTACGATTTCAGGGTGATTTCACTTCACAAAGCAGCCAAATCACACCTGGGTTGAATATTCCAAAGATTTTTTGGCCTCCCCTCAAACAGTGGGTTGACTACTTCCTTTCTTCGACTGGACTTCTGTCTAAAGTTACAAAGCTGGAAAAAAGATTATCAACCTTTAATCAATTCTGTGTATTATGATGGCCTTTAATTACATTTTTTTTTAAATCTATTATTGTTTTTTTATCATTATAATCATCAACATTTTCAACTTCTGTTCGGACTGCCACACACCAATACATTTTCTCACTTTTCAGAGGGTTTTATTTCTGACCTTGTCCCATGCGGGCTCCGGTGAGAGCCTCCTTGGCGCTACCGAAGCCGAGCTCCCTGCAGACGACGCTGGCTGACTGCAGGTTCCAGCGATCGTCGCACACTGTTCCCCACTCGTTGTCTTTCAACACCTCCACGCGGCCCTCGCCCAGCCTGGCACCACCCTTCAGCCTCACGTTACTCTAGACAACAGACACATAAAACAATATTTTAATCTACATGTAGCAGGTTGTCTGAGCTGCCTATCAGACTGCTTACTATAAGTTTTAATAACTGTGTACAGAAGGAAATGTATAATCATTTCTAAAAATGACAAATATTTCACTTAGATTTTACATTAGAAAACAGAAAATAGTTCATTATCAGACACTAAAATGTCACTCAAGGTCCACTAGCTAGCTTTTTCTGGAGCTTTCAATCACATTTCACTGTCTATCATGTGCCCAAAGCTCCATACTGAAATCACATGATATAAACTGGTATCTCCATGTCTCTAAAAACTACTTTACCGAGGTCTTCAGTTTCTTTTTCATGCCACTGTTTTGCATGAACAGCGGCCCAGGCATGCAGCTGACCACGGCTGCCATGCCGCCCTCGCAGGTCGATGTGGCGTTTGGCTTGTTGAACTCCAGGGGGCAGGCTGCCAGGTGGATCTCTGTGCCTGTGCACGCCACAGAGTGGATGTGGAAGTGGTTCTTCTGACGCTCCAAATACAACCTGGAGGGAGCAGAGACAGAGGCAAGAACGAGGACTGTGATAACTTCAAGACTGAATGAATTAGTTGTGTTTACAGTACAGTGAAAAATAAAGGACTGACAATGTGCTTACAATTAACTCATAAAAACATTCAAATGAATGACCACACAAATGACTGAATGAATACAAAGCTACACAATAATCCGGATTAAAAAAGAAAACCAAACAGTTTGGTTTAGTACATTCAGTCAGGTTCATTGTCTGACGGTAAATTATAAAAACATGTTGGACAAAAGGAAAACTTCACCAGAGACCACAAGTAAATCTGTGTCCAGTAAAAGAAGATATTACTTTAATTTTGTTGTTGTTTCGCTTTCTTGTTGATTGTTAGATGAAAATCTCAATATGACTCATGTTTGTACGGTAAATATGTAGCTGTAGCCAGCAGCCGTTTGGCTTAGTTTAGCATAAAGACTGGAAACATTTAGGCTGACTCTAAACACACCAAACACAGATTTTTTTTTTGCTAATCCTGAATTTCTCATCAGCTTAAATGTCAGTTGTTTGTGAAGCAGCATGTGTGTGGGTCTCTTCAGACAGCTTGAATTTACCCACTGAACTGTTTATCCTCAGATTACCTTTTGCCAGGGCTGCTCTGTTTAGACTTAGAGTTAGCTTTAGCTTTGGGTGTCTGCCTGCAAAGTAAACACGGGTTAGACTGCACAGTTAGGAGAAAATAATGAGACGACAAAGTGCAAAATCAGAGTAACAAAAGGTGACATGGTGCACAGTTATGTTAAAGTCTAGTTACACGATTCAAAAGGATGTGGCACCTTCTACACGCTTGTTAAATACAGTTAGCTTCACAAGAAAAGGTGTTTATATTATGTTCAAGTCGCACAAGGAACAGATTTGTTGAAAGTGACACATCCTTCTTAAATGCAGGTGAAAGAAAAACACAAATGTGAATTTAAACTTTGACATTCATTGATTCTTTTCATACATTTCATTAGCACAGGCTCACATACATAGCATGGCTAAAAGTATGTGGATACACTTTTCTACATACTTTTCTGTACATTTGGGCAAGGTACCTTCGTTCCAATTAAGGGACATTTTAATACTATAGTATACAATAATATTTTAAACAACAGCACGCTTCCATCACTGCTATGTATGTGAGCCTGTGCTAATAAAATGTATGAAAAGAATCAATGAATTTCAAAGTTTAAATTCACATTTGTGTTTTTCTTTTCACCTGCATTTAAGAAGGAGGTGTCACTTTCAACAAATCTGTTCCTTGTGCGACTTGAACATAATATAAACACACTTTTCTTTGTGAGCTAACTGTATTTAACAAGCGCTGTAGAAGGTGCCACATCCTTTGAATCGTGTAACTAGACTTTACATAACTGTGCACCATGTCACGTTTTGTTACTCTGATTTTGCACTTTGTCGTCTCATTATTTTCTCCTAACTGTGCAGTCTAACCCGTGTTTACTTTGCAGGCAGACACCCAAAGCTAAAGCTAACTCTAAGGTCTAAACAGAGCCAGCCTTGCAAAAGGTAATCTGAGATAAACAGTTCAGTGGTATTCAAGCTGTCTGAAGAGACCCACACACATGCTGCTTCACAAAACAACTGACATTTTAAGCTGATGAGAAATTCAGGATTAGCAAAAAAAAAATCTATGTTTGGTGTGTTTAGAGTCAAGCCTAAATGTTTCCAGTCTTTATGCTAAACTAAGCCAAACGGCTGCTGGTACAGCTACATATTTACCGTACAAACATGAGTCATATTGAGATTTTCATCTAACGATCAACAAGGAAAGCGAAACAACAACAAAATTAAAGTAATATCTTCTTTTACGGACACAGATTTACTTGTGGTCTCTGGTGAAGTTTTCCTTTTGTCCAACATGTTTTATATATTTACTGTCAGACAATGAACCTGACTGAATGTACTAAACCAAACTGTTTGTTTTCTTTTTTAATCCGGATTATTGTGTAGCTTTTGTATTCATTCAGTCATTTGTGTGGTCATTCATTTGAATGTTTTATTGAGTTAATTGTAAGACATTGTCAGTCCTTTATTTTTCACTGTACTGTAAAACACAACTAATTCATTCAGTCTTGAAGTTATCACAGTCCGCTGTCTTGCCTCTGTCTCTGCTCCCTCCAGGTTGTTTTTGGAGCGTCAGAAGAACCACTTCCACATCCACTCTGTGGCGTGCACAGGCACAGAGATCCACCTGGCAGCCTGCCCCTGGAGTTCAACAAAGCCAAACGCCAAATCGACCTCGAGGGCGGCATGGCAGCCGTGGTCAGCTGCATGCCTGGGGCCTGTTCATGCAAAACAGTGGCATGAAAAGAAACTGAAAGACCTCGGTAAAGTATTTTAGAGACATGGAGAACCAGTTTATATCATGTGATTTCAGTATGGAGCTTTGGGCACATGTAGACAGTGAAATGTGATTGAAAGCTCCAGAAAAAGCTAGCTAGTGGACCTGAGTGACATTTTAGTGTCTGATAATGAACTATTTTCTGTTTTCTAATGTAAAATCTAAGTGAAATATTTGTCATTTTTAGAAATGATTATACATTTCCTTCTGTACACAGTTATAAACTTATAGTAAGCAGTCTGATAGGCAGCTCAGACAACCTGCACATGTAGATTAAAATATTGTTTTATGTTGTCTGTTGTCTAGAGTAACGTGAGTGAAGGGTGGTGCCAGGCTGGGCGAGGGCCGCCGTGGAGTGTGAAAGACAACGAGTGGGGAACAGTGTGCGACGATCGCTGAACCTGCAGTCAGCAGCGTCGTCTGCAGGGAGCTCGGCTTCGGCAGCGCCAAGGAGGCTCTCACCGGAGCCCGCATGGGACAAGGTCAGAAATAAAACCCTCTGAAAAGTGAGAAAATGTATTGGTGTGTGGCAGTCCGAACAGAAGTTGAAAATGTTGATGATTATAATGATAAAAAACAATAATAGATTTAAAAAAAAATGTAATTAAGGCCATCATAATTACACAGAATTGATTAAAGGGATAATCTTTTTCCAGCTTTGTAACTTTAGACAGAAGTCCAGTCGAAGAAAGGAAGTAGTCAACCCACTGTTTGGGGGAGGCCAAAATCTTTGGAATATTCAACCCAGGTGTGATTTGGCCGCCTTGTGAAGTGAAATCACCCTGAATAGTAATCCAGTTTAGCAAACTTTCTCAAGAAATTCAGAGGTTTAACTCAACCAATGACATTATTTCTGCATCTTTACAAAATGTTTGTAGAAGTAAAAGTGAGTCTGTAAGCTCTAATCAGACTCTATACACTTCAATACAAGTAAAAAAAAATTACTATGAACATGTCAAAAGTGAACTGTTTGCCACACTCAGTGTTGACTTTTGATAATTGTTGTTGATTTAGCCTGGTCAGTTCTGTGCTTTTTAAATCCCTCTGAACTCGTCACCTGAGACAGGACGTCCTTATAACTGTCCTCAGAGAGGATTTCAGTCATCACCTGTCCACTTGTCTTTCTCTCAGGTCATCTCTTCCCCTCAGAGAACAGATAATCTGCTCTCTACAGGTCCACATTCCTACAGGGATTTCTCATTTGGAGTTATTTTAATAAGTAAAGGAATGCTGGGAGTGAAGAAAGATAAGAAACAAAACAAAGATTTTCCGTAAACACCATATGACACCGACCGCGGTAAACAGATTGTCTTTTTCACTACAATCCCGACATTAATATAGTTCTTTATTCGTTAAATTCTCTTTGCTATGAGTATTTCTGATTCCTTAGTGTGTGTCAGGCATTTGTTAAGAACAGAAAGCCGTCTTGTGTTATTCCAGCTCGGCCACGGACCATTTCATGTGAAAATGAGGCGATTTCACAAGTCCAGCTTTGTGTCTGAGCCACTTGGCCTCCATGTGAGCAGCAGTAAATCAGCTTCAAGACAAAATCACTTTTTGTGTTTCTGTAACTGTAAGACTGTAAGACTATGTTGAGACTGCGTACCAAACTGTTTAAAAACTTAACGACGAGTTTAATCCTCAACAATGATTTATCAGAAAAGTTTCCATATATTTTTAAGTTTTTTTCCATATTTTCAGTTTGAACAAAACTCATCAGTTCTCGTCGTCGCTTGTTCTTCACCAACACAGACACACTCAGCAGATTAATTTATGTTGGTTAGAGGATGCTTAGAAATGAAAACCTTAAGCTGAATGAAGTAGTTTGTGTATGAGTGAGTACGTGAGAAAGAGAGCATGTCTCCTTGTGAATTAATTATGCCTTGTATTAGACTGGGTCCAGTTGCACAAAGCATCTTAATTTAGATTTTTCTTAAAGTCCGCGATATGGTTTCAAAAACAAAACACCCTAAATATTTAGGTTTTCTCCTTATCTTGGTCTTATCCATAAGAATCACTTTAAGTCAGTTAAAGACCTTAGTGACCAAACTAAGGAAAAACCCTTTTCCTCTTGATTGTATTTTAACTACAACATGGCCGAGTTTATGAAGAGATGAACATCCCAACAAAAGTTTTCCACGATCAGGAAACCCTTTAAGATATTCTGTGCTTACAACCTTAAGTAACTCCCTCAGCTAAGGAGAAAATTAAACCTTAAGTAGAAACTTGAGGTGCTTTGTGCAACTGGTCCCTAGCTTTAAAATTTCAGACAGCTGTTTGTAACGGCATTGATTTTATTTTAGTGTTGAATCAGTAAGAGCAGAAGAGGAGACCCCTGACACACTTATCGATTTCCTTCTACATTAGTACACCACAGAGATCCTCTTGCATTTACAAAATACTGTACATATAAAGCAATAAATGCCCCAGGAAGTGAAAATATAAGCCCCAATTTATCCAGATAAATTAAAGTATCAATGATCGAAGATGTTTTTACCTGAGGGAAATAATTAACCATTTTGAATGACAGTTTGTATCAGCTGGAAATTAATCACAAAAAAAATTGATGGATGATACTGTAAATATTTTTTTTTAATTGAAAAGAACAGACTCAAATTTG